AATCAAATACCCAAGCATGTAGAAGGCGTTGCTGTTATGGTTGGTTGCCAACAAACAGGAGTAACTCAAACTTTCAAGGTGATTTGATCTGCTATGCACCATGGAGTGAGTCATATGATTTACTTGACATTAAGGAACTGTGACACATGCTGAATGTCTTTCTTCAATGATTTTAATAACACCAACTGCTACAAGGTTTCAATCCTGCGATAGATCCAGGAATAAATGACCATGTGCTAGCCCTGCCAAGTACATTTACCGGTACATGTATGTACATGTACATGACCAGAAATGTTATGTTGGCTCATGGACAACTTCTCAAGGCCTTCTACACTACAGCCTCTAAACCCGGAGTTGAACTTAACCCTGGCGAACACATGACCACCCTGGACTGAGAATTTGATTTTTCAACCCCATGTTCAACCTGGCGTTGTTTCACACTTGTTTCATGCAAACCGAGCTTATCAGGGTGAACTCAACCCAGAGATGAGCATGAACATTTTCAACCCAGGTTTAGTCAATCTCGAAGTTGATGTACTGTAGGTTTGGTATGGGAATGAAAATTTTCAAGTGTGAATTGTCCCCAGTTTTCAACCCTGAGATTTGCTTAGTGTGAAAAGTCCTATACATGTACACGTACATTGTACCTTCTCATGATGTACACGCACATGTGCTCAGAGTCATACCCTTCTACTCGGACATCCTGACTATGTATAGAAGTGTGAGATACATATGCACATGCTTGTTTCTGTCCATGTAAATGGACAGTTATCAAATGACTCCATGTAATATTTCACTGTTGGTCAATGATAGTGTGATTTGTTCAAGTGTTGAACTCCCTGAAAACCCAATCAAATAAACAATTAAATTGTTCAATCCATACCGCTGAACAAATCTGAGATTTCTAAAAACCCTTAAAACCCCAAAACAAAACAAAATAAACATTTATAATAAGAAAACATCCGCAGGCTGTTGGGCCATGATGTGACACGAGAGGGACCACTTCTATAAAAGTAATGAGAAGAATGGAAAAACATACACACATGCAATGTATACATGAAGAATGCACCATCAGTGTTTCACTTTTCATCAAACAAGAAGCACGACACAGCTGACTATGGCTACCATGTAATTTGAGCGGTGGAATTGGTTCAACATGTTCATGCAGCATATGTATGTACAAGTAGGTCATGGATAATCAGTCAAGCATGGCTCAGCAAAATGATTCCAGGTCCAGTGTACATGTACATATAGGTCGTGTACACCTGTACATGTATGAGGACTAATCACTTAATACAGAATACAAGGTCAGTTGCCTAAGGCTTGAAATATAAAGGTCTGCAAGAAAATGAGCAATTACACATTGAACAAATAAAACAAAAATACTTTTAAAATAATTGTTATTGCATGACTTTCGAGTGTCCAAGGGCTGATGAAAACTATACAGTACATTTATTAGTTGCTGGTACATGTACAAGGCAACAAACTACATGTAAGTACTGATCTATGTAAGATACGATGTGGGAGAAAAATGCACAATACCAGTACTGGAGAAAACTGTGGAGGTGTAACCTCGGCTCTTTTAGGGTTAAATTCCACACTCAACACTGTCAACCTACTTCACATGGGTTACAAGTAATTTATTTTCAACTTTGTTTCCAGTGTTAATCCCTGGATGTGAAACTTTCTTCCAGTGTCTTGATTTGAGGATGAAGCAATGAGAAAAGTGTTTAATTGTGAATCGACCCACCATCAATGGAGCATCGGGTGGGTATTGGGTGACTAGAGGTACATGTATATGTACATGTAATTGGAGCTCACAGTGAGGAAAGATGGAGATGGAAATGAGTGAATCTAACACAATAGAACTGACTTATTTGTGAGCAAAACCTGTTGATTTTGCCATTGTGGGGGCTTTGTTCCACACTGCACATACATGTACATGTACATTACTCGTACAAATGTACAGTACTCGTATACATGTACATGGTACAAACAAGACGCATGTAACACAGGTAAAATTTGTAGAAAATAGATGTACATTACAATGTATCATGAAAGTACATGTACTGTACATGACCGTATAACCCATGGATTCAAAGTAAAGCTGGAATAATTCTCCCCCATTAGAACTGAAAGCATACTTCTAGTCTGCATAAATGCAATCATTCTGATGTTAACACCATTCTGAGGCTCAGACCCAGTTGGACTTGGGTCAAATTTTTTTTTCAACTTGAGACTTAACTTCACCAGTTGAAAAAACTGTGACTTGACCTGGGAAAAAAGACTTGTTTTTAACAAATTTAACCTGTAGACATCACCAAATCCCAGGAAACATACAGAGATTATAAAGAAAACTTGACTTTTGACAGTTCTGCAAACTTGTCTGTTGGATGCAACTTCATCATAATATCAGCCTGTCCTGAAAGACGAAATGAACAATGACACTTCAGACCTGTTTTGCCAAACTTCACAGGTCATATCATTAAAATCTTGCCTTGACTAGTGACTACTGGTAAAATGACTTAAAACAAATACTTCAGAGTAAATTTCGCGTAGATGATGTGAAGATGAGCGCTGTTGACAATTCATGACTCTACAATGTACATGTACCAAGGGGGGGCTACACTGCAGGGACCATGTACATGCAGCAATGCACTGGTACAGTTGTAGAGAATGGTACGATTACAGTTTCTTAAGTCCTCAATAAATGTATCACAATATATACCACTGTTTACATGAAACATGACCGTGAATGATGCTTTCTTTTGATGTTTTCAAATACATTGAGTGTACACACACATGGCCTTAGATGCACAGATGCAGGATTAGTCAGCTCTACAAACAAGGCAGTAAAGGCTCTCTTTCTACTTGAGTCATACTATTTTTGCCAAGAGCCCTGCTTTTACATTTGATGAATAGTCAAATATTTGGCTGAACACTTTGAAATGAATTCCTTTGATCAAAAAATGAAAATACATATATTTAGTTCAAATATAAGGCTTGAAGAGGATTTACCGTCCCAGAGGAAGCACAAAACTGCAATGATTGTAATATAATTTCAGTGATTCAGATTTCAGGAATAATTGGGATTACTGCAATTTCATGTTACACTAGTTAACAGTACCTAAAGCAGGCCTACATGTACTTGAGGGGTTAACACCAACAGTGAAAGTACAATATGACAGTACTGCTATAAACCTTTCTGGAGTTAGCAAGTGCAAAATTGGATGACAACCATGCAGTGCATTTTATGCATTATAACCCGGTAGGGTAGAAATGCACCAGCAAAACATTATTACATGTACCTGAGTGCTTCCACTTTACCACATATCCAAGATCAAGCCAACCTTTTTTCATGCTGTGTTACACTGCAGATTTGGAATGAAATTCTACAAAAATTTCATCAGAAAAAGAACAAGCTTCCATCGGCTGAACCTCAAGTTGACTGTTAACTTCCAGTATAATAGTTCCATGTACATGTATGTGCAGTTTAGACAGAAGGGACACCAAACTTATCCATTTTTACTGGCCAACTTATTCTCAGGAGAAATTCCCAGGTCACTTTTCCTGGGACACAAAGGCCAGTGCAGATAGAGCAAGTTGATAAAAGCATGAAAAGCGGCTCAGTAGAGCGTACTCTCTTCATGCATGTACATCCGGCCCAAGCACAAAGGTGTGATTCCTACAGGGAAAGTACGCATACGGGTTGCATGTTTCACAGCGATGTGGCATGTGATAAGCACATGTACATAATTTCCAGTTCATTGGTCCTATCTGGTCCCAATCATGGCAGAAAATATTACTGATACAGTTGGAGGTCCCCATTGTTGAAAAGCATTACGCATAAAAAATATGTTTTGTTCTTGTGATGGGGCCCTGTGGCTGATACCGTGGCAGCCCCCCTCCCAATGCCTAAAGCTGGTAACGGGCTGGTCTAAGGACAAAACCAAAACGTTGTAGACTACTGTCATTGCCCTGACACCTTGTAGGCTACTGTCACTGCGCTGACAGCTTGTAGGCTACTGTCACTGCACTGACAGCTTGTAGGCTACTGTCATTGCGCTGACAGCTTGTAGGCTACTGTCATTGCGCTGACAGCTTGTAGGCTACTGTCATTGCGCTGACAGCTTGTAGGCTACTGTCACTGCACTGACAGCTTGTAGGCTACTGTCATTGCGCTGACAGCTTGTAGGCTACTGTCATTGCGCTGACAGCTTGTAGGCTACTGTCATTGCGCTGACAGCTTGTAGGCTACTGTCATTGCGCTGACAGCTTGTAGGCTACTGTCATTGCGCTGACAGCTTGTAGGCTACTGTCATTGCGCTGACAGCTTGTAGGCTACTGTCATTGCGCTGACAGCTTGTAGGCTACTGTCATTGCGCTGACAGCTTGTAGGCTACTGTCACTGCGCTGACAGCTTGTGGCTACTGTCATTGCACTGACAGCTTTTAGGCTTGACAACAGCAAGTACATAAAACTAACCGTTTTTTTCCTCTTCTAATTATATTGCCATAAAAAACCATCTTCTACATTTCAGGGCTTCTTTGATCCCCCAAATCCTTTGCCCAGCATTGCCTCTGTGGGAGAGAGTTGAACATGTGTACATCATTGTGAAATGTCATGGTACAGATTGGCCTAAGGCACATGTGAATGGATGTGCATGGTGGCACAGTTTGGTTTTTTTGTCTCTTTTGCACTCCATCATTTCTTGGGGTATGCAGCCTGAATGTTAATATGGTCAAACAACTTAAATTCAATAGCCTGTCAAATGGTTACTGTACTTGTTGAAGTTGTTCAACACTAAATGTCGAATGTGGAACTAGCCTGCTAACTTCGCATCGGTGATGAAATAAGAATATCAACAAGGTTGATTAGATTGTTTGTAAATTGTAGGGCTGTTACTAGGCCCCGGCCTTGTGGTAGGTACATGTACGTACATGTAGGCTAGTAGTGGCTTACACAAGTTACACCATGGCTTACAAGTTGGTTAGGCCTACCTGTCTCTTTTTCCTGAATTTCATAAAGGCTTCTTGCAGACTGCCTTTGCCCATTTCGTTTTCCTTCTCCGCTTGATCAAGATCTTTACAAGTAACAGTTTGTTCGCCTTCTCCCAGATTTGGTTTGTTCCTGAAGTCGATCACAAAGTTCATGATGACTGCATTCTACATGTAGCAGTGGCAAGCATCACACTTGTCAGCTGGTCATGTCATGCATGTGGAAACCGCGTCGGACACTTGCGTGGCTTGATGCATGATGTTGGGCATCGTCATCGTGGTCATATCGTGAAAACCAGTGATCAATAGGAAAAATTCAACTTTCGCGCTAAAACACGTAAATTTAAACAGCCCAGAGCCACGTGTACTAACCGCCAATTTGCCGTGGTTGCCCGGTAAACAAAATGAGTAAACATTGAACTTGAAGCTAAGGCACAGAGGTCAAAAGCAGCAGGTCACGGTCGAAAGAGAACGTCTAGTCGCAGAGCGCCATCAAGTACTGTAAGGCTGCATCCGAATATCTTGTCTAGAGCTAGGTCTTCGCTCCATTGGAAATGCCTGGAGACGCGCGGATGAATAGACCTAGCCGTAGCTCTAGAAGCCCGTTTCGGACACCGGCTAAGGCTGTGAAAAAGAAATTAACGGTCATCGTAAAGGGCGCCATCATTGTGAAGCAGTGATAAAGGGCGCCATCCTATGGTGGGGGGCGTCCATTGATCTCCATTGTAAAGACTGGATAGGACATCGCGAATTGTTTGTGCACAAAATGCGCGGCCGAACAATAGTGACGCTTCGAAGAGGGCAATGTGATGCTGTATGTGATGCTGTGCATTTCTGGTCAATATAACCTTTTTCTCATGGGATGATGGCTAAGCCGGGCCACGGCCTCCATCCCTAAAACAAGCCAAAATATACAGAAAATGCAAGAATATCATTTCCGGAAATAACTGACCATTTTCTTCATCAACTAACCCACTCGAAAGCGACAATTTGAACTTGCTTTTGTGTGAATTCCACCAGGACATGCAATAGGTTTCTTCAGTAAATATGATGTCCAAACTGTCCATGTGTTTTTCCGTCTTGTTTCGATGAGCCAACACTGACAAAAATTATCAATAAAATGATTTTAATTTTACACACTATCAGGAAAAATTGTACTAAATAAAATTCATTCACTGTATATTGAGTAAGTTTTATTAAAACCGACATGCGGCCTACCAAAGTGGAAGAATCTTTTCTGTGAGCACAAAGTAAGTGCAGCTTGAAATGAGCGACTAAAATAACTTACTACCGTTTTTAAAACAGACACTTAATCAGGTTAAAAGGTTGACTTCACAACCTGACCTAAATAAAGATTTACATTTTACAACTACTTTCCGGCATAAAAAGTCAGTTTTAACTGAGAATGAATAACTTTGTTATGTAGATAAAGTTTCTTTCATTGCGTTGACTTTGAATTCCCTTGTTTGTAACTTCATTCAACAGAAACGTCAGCACTCTGCTTCTCACTTTGGTTTCATCTTTGTCCCAAAGAAGAATTTTGTCACTCATGTCACATTGTCTGTCACACGATTTGGGTTCATTGCGTCTGCATATCCAACGAACACAAATCATGGCTTTCTTGGAGATTTTTCCGTTGAAATCTGGGGAAAATAAACTACAAATTATAGTCGTTCAGTTTTTGAAACCACCTTTGTCAAGGAGTAACATTAAGTTCAGACGGCCCCAACTTCGAGATAGTGAAGTTTCATGTACAAAGCCTGATAGGCTAGATAGACTGTCATAAATTTCTTACTAGGCCTATGTAGGCTTTAAGGTAAGCATTATAAAGTACAACTTGAGAAACTCTCTGAAACTAAAAAGGTGCGAATCACGTTTTCTTCTGTTCTTTCTTCCAAAACTTAATAGACGTTGATCTCCGGTAATTCACTACTGCGTACACCTCAACCATTATTCTTTCCAAATTTATCCATTCTGATGAATGCAGAATTCAGTTTTTGTTCGAAATCTGACGATTGAAGCACAAAAACCTCAAACATTTTTTGAAAAACTCCATTTGAAAGTACACGTAACGAAATTCGCAACGCTCGTTATTTACCCTCCTGAAAATACGCATACGCGGGACGCGTTTTGGACCTATCCAGTCCACTATATAATGGAGATCAATGGGGGCATCGTTTGGGTCGAGTTCGGGCGGCCTGTTCTCAGGCTTGACAGGGGTTTCTTGTTCTATCTCGCGCTCGAATGGCGGGAACACGACTCAAGAACACTGTTCTCAGAACAGGATCACACACCACCTCCTCGTCAGGGTTTCACAGGTACACATGGAAGAAAAACTCGTGAGATTTTGATTTTTGAACAGCTGCAAAAAGTAGAGAGATGGCTTCTAAAGCCATAGACAATGGGAAGTTTTGCAAATTAACATTAATTATTTTCCGTCACACAGAAATGAATGTTCCTGGATATATAGAATATAGTTCAGCCCATCCAAACATTAACTCTCGAATAACGTAGCCTACATGGGCGCCGCCATATTGCATGTTACTAACTACCATCGGTAACCGGTTGTTTGTTCCCGGCGTTCGAGCGGCCGACCCACGAACAAAAAAGCGAGCTGTTCGTGAACATACGAGTTCGAGTATAAGCCGCCTGAACTCAGCCTTGGCGTAAATGGGACAGTCTTTTATGGAACTGGTTCCCCGCCGCCCCTGATAGGGTTCAATGCACTGCACCAAGGGTACATTCCACCAAATCGTTGGCCCAGAGAGTTTTTATAATAAGACATGCCATAATCAGACGGGATCATAGGGATATTTCTATTAATCCCGAATTTGGGACTGGTAGTTTCCTGTTCGGGGTATTTCTTTCACAAAAAGCCCCAAATTTGCGGGCCTATTTTGGATAGAGGCAGGCTACATTCAGAGCTGAGCGCATAGTTTTACAACTATTTTGGGGGTATCTTCGGGGAATGGCGAATAAAAAAAATCGCGCAGCTAACCCCTATAATATTGGAACGAAAAGTGAACTTCTGGTCATAATCTTGAATTTCCAGTGGAAAAAAAAACTGAGACCAACCTCTTCCCGAGAGTCAACAGGCGGCGGTCTGATTTTGCAGTGTTTTGTGCAACCCGTAGGAAGATAGGGGTAATCATAATAAAATGGGCGTATCTTAACCGTTACGCATGCGTTTTTCGTCTTGGAAGGTTGAGAGCAATTATCATAAATGCGGCACACAAAATAACACACAACAAAAGTGCTCTTCTGGCCGACTTGCATGTATTAGCTCTGTTAGGAGAGCGTTAAACATGTACTTACAATCAACAAGCCGAGGGTTTGGTTCTATACGTAGTAATTTTGTTTCTTGCTGGGGAATAAGTTGGTTGGAGGATGTTTTTATAATTGGAAAGTAAAGAAATATTTCAAGTTATCTGATAAAGAGCGCCTCGGAATGGTTTGCTAGATAGATGGCGCTTTACAAGTGCTTGTTATTATTATTATTACCTCAGCACTTCAGTCAACCAACCAACCAACCAACCAACCAACCAACCAACCAACCAACCAACCAACCAACCAACCAACCAACCAACCAACCAACCAACCATGAGCAAAGGGCGCCACCATTATTGCTGTGAGCGGGAAATTTTTTTTTAATGCTGACACGAAGGGCGCCACCAAGTTTACATTACTGTAAATGAAGGACGCCGCCATGTGCCAGACAAACCCAGAAGTTTGTTTGGTATTCCTTTATTTAAAAGTAATTCCGAGTTCCACATTTCCTCCCTGGCGAGTCAAGTAAACGTAAAGACGTTACCCTGAGCAGCAACACATTTATATACATGTATATACAGATGTATATGTGAAAAACCACACAAAAACATGTAAAAACCAAAATTACAAGAAAATGCAAGAAGTAAAACAAATTCGGCTAAAACAGTTTTCATACATTTCCTGGACCCACCAGAGTCCCATCACAAATTTAATTTGCTGTATGTTTTGGTATAATTTGGTATATCCTGTCAGTGTTCCAATTCCCAATTAACTTTTATAATCTGATTTTTATTTTTGGCCAATAGATATTTTAAAAAATGAATGCATCTTTCATCTTTTATGTTCAGCACATTGTGATATGCATGTTTATTAATTTTAAAGCATGACAAGTTTTTATTATATCGTTACAAACAGTACTTCTTCATAAATATTTATAGACAATCCAATAAAAAATGAACGCAGGCAAGATAAGTACAAAAAGCTGCCTGATTTTATTACAATATGTAACACAGTTTTAGGCTGACATTAATGTTACGATAACACATCTACCTCATTAATTTTGGGAAATGCACTTAAAATATTCTTCACAGTTTCAGATTGAAAACTGTAACCAGTTCCAATAAAGCATGTCAGAGTGTAATAAAGTGCCAACAGAGAGAAGAAAATATGTTGGCCAAATATGTCTGAAATTATTTCCTTGTTTCATTAAAAAGTAAACAGATAAATTTTTCTCTTGAATATTGGCCTCTTCATGAACATCTAAACTGCTGCAATTTTCCATAGTACCAAATGGGAAATAGACTACCACATTTTCATTGAGCCTTATAATGAATTAAGAAATAAAATTCGACTTTTCATTGTTTTAATTTTTTCACAGTAATTGCTGACTGATGTCAAGTTCTGTTTTCCCTCTTTTTCTTCAGTGTCATTCCTGTAACAAGAAAATGTACACAAAGCAAATATCATTTGGTAAAATTCAAGCTCTGTGAATTCTGTTGTTGTCATAGTAATAATCAATCATTGCTGCCCTCTTTATATTCAAATTATGAGTGTCCTTGATGGTGATGTAATGAACTATTCAATACAAGTACACAATGCCACTAGTAATGTCATATTTATCCCATTCATTACTGTGATATCACATTAATTTACCATCATCATAATCATTATTCATTACTTCTCATGAAAGTCATTACCATTTAAACGGTACCAGTAACCCTGATTTAGATACATTACCTTGTGGCTTTTTCAGGCAAAAGTTCATCCCAGGCTTCCCATATCTCTTCAACTTTCTGGAGACATTCTTTGCCACTGAAAGATAAAGATGAAGTTTTTAAAATCGTTTTAACCACTTGCTGCCGGGGGACCCGTTTTCGAGCACAAAGGCTCTATACACGAAGCCAGACAAAAGAGCAGGGCCTTGTAACAAAAGACCATGCTCGGCACAAAAGACTGAGCGGCTGGGCATTACCGACATTTTTTCACTCTCAATAGTGGAGATAATACAGCCTTGTTTTGAAACAGTATACCACGGTTTTGGGCATTTAGTGCGAGTGGATTACCATCAGGGACAAAAGTGCTCCACCATCGCAGCGATGAACCACACAGCACCGCTGCACGCTAATCTGGCCCCTATTGAAAAGAAAGTTATATAACACCGCACAATCTGGGCTCTTTTTACAAGGCTGCAGGCCTGGCTGACATACTCGGGCGTCAATAAATTTTGTCTGTAAGGCTACAGTGGCCACCAGACAGTAATTCATATGGGTGTAAACGTCCATTAATTGAAATGATGAATTTTTGAAGATTTTTGAAAACTGAAAATCTTGAAATTGGCCTGTATGTGTGCACTGCATTTTTCAAGCCACCCGGCAGCATGTGGTTAAAGAACCGTTTCATTAAATGTTGTCTCATTTCACTTAATTTACACTTAATTAACCATTTGATTACAGTTCACGAAGCATTTGAGCTACTTGGGGCTGTAGTAGATTAATCAGACAGCTCAAGTGACTTTTCTGGAACTAAGGCTGTTTTTGCTTACAATGTGTCATCAATCAAAAGCATCCATCATCCATCTGCCATAAAAAAAGAATCTTCCAAACTGAGCAATATCACAAATTGGATTCTGAAGATTTGCTTCATTTCCTATTCTGCTGTATGTTTACGTTGGAGGTGTTTGGTCCTTCTGCATGGTGCTCGATTGTGCTGAGCTGTAATGAAATTTATTCTGCAGCCAAAAACTAAAAACACTGATAGTGCAATACGGCCGTTTCACAATAGTGCGCCACCAAGTGTTTGCAACGTGTGCAAAATTTGTCAACTCAATGCGCGTTTGAAAGGGGGTCAACAAATTTTGCGTGTTATGATTTGCCAACGTGTTGCAAACTCTTGGTGGCACACTATTGTGAATCGCCTGTATTGACAGGGAACAGAACAATTGCGAAGCAGTGCAGTGTCAGTGGGAAGTTGTGCAGAATGACAAAGTCCACCCAACAAACAACACTCACTGGATTCCCTAGGTATTCTTGAGCCATACATCTGATTCTGTAGAAACTGGAGTGTAGCTTCATTAGGAGATGGATTATGAACTTTAGATCTCTGGATGACTTGGATGGTAGTTGGCTCCTTCTCCTCATCAAACTCTTCAAAGTCACTATCTTCATCATCATCATCATTCCTGACAGGAACTGTTAGCTTCCCCTGAGGGCTGGATTCTGTCTGTGATTTCTCACTAAAGCACAAATGGAAATACTGACTGGATCCAATCAAAATTATTTATAGCAAACATCATAAAACTTGCTACACTTTCATCCCTTTTTTTCAGTTACAGCTTTATAAAAAATTAGAAATAATGAAGAAAAAGGGTGAAGTCATGATTCACAAACATCTTCCTTATTGACGATACCTGATTTCTGACGTTAACTCCTTTGGTTGGGCAAGTTTGTCAAGTAGCTCAGCAGGTAGCCTAGCCTTGCTAAGGGATACCTTCTTCTTTTGTTTCTGCTCCTTAAGAAGTTTGTCTCGTTCTCGACGTTTCTCCTTGGCTTTTAACTTTGTTCTAATAGTCATTGACAAGAAGACAAAATACAACAGAACATCACAAGGTATTTTATCACAAGGTATTTGGACTCCAGAAGAAATTCAGGCTAGTTTTGTGAAAGGTGTGGAAAACACAAGAAAGGAAAACAAAGAATTCAAAATGCTTCCCCCCCCCGTAATTCTCTAATCTCTGCCCTAAACAAAAGAGTCATGGGTTTAGATATAGTTGATTCCTGAAGTAAAAATAAGTTAAAAGGGGGAAAATATTTCTCCATACCTCTGAAGATCTTTGAGTGCATTTGATATAGATTCTAATGCCTCTTGTCTTCCCTGACTGAAGGAAACTGCCTCAGGAGCTTCATCATCGATTTCCATCTCATCATGTCTCTCTGTGTCTACAGTTGATGCTTCTGTCTTGCTCTTTCTCGTCTTTACCATTCTGTGTGATGGCTTCTTCTTCACGCTGGGTGCAGGACTACAAATTCAGTTTTCCGAAAAAAAGCACATCATGTACATGACGGAGAGCGGCCCAGGAAGTGCAATAATATAACAACTGAATAACTACCAATACCATGACTACGTAACCCTGGTAACTACATAAGCTATCTAAGTTGTCAGTAGCGAGAACATGAAAAACAGCAGGGCTGAAATGTTGCATCCTGACTCCACTTTTCTCATCATATATCATCTCAATAAAAGTCAGTCATAATAGAAATGCTGGAAGTGGAAAGACACGAATTCTGGACTGAGTGAGAAACATTTACCGATGTTGTTGCGAAACACTTTGAAAATTCTCTTCACTCCACATAGCCCCACTAGTGTGGCACGGACTCTCACTCCCGATCCATCCTGATGGATCGGGAGTGAGAGTCCGTGCCACACTAGTGGGGCTACACTCCACATAGACTTTATAGTCATACACAACTGCTGAAGTGGAGTCGGGACGCAACATTTTTTCCAACAGCAACAGGCCTATTACAGATTTGGACTAATGGTATGTTATTTAAATCGCTCACACCAAAAAACCGAAAGGTAGTCCGTCCGTTCAGGTGTCCCGGGTGTTGTTACATTCTGTAGGCTGTACGTACACATGTACATGTGTACAGTGTGCCGTACCACTGCCAGCTTTGCAGCTTTCCCATGTGTTTTCAACCTTGTTCCCATTTTACACGCTCACAGCTTTCATCTAACCCCAAACAGAGGAGACTCGAAATCCTGCAATCGATACTGAAGTACAATTTAGACTGGTACCCAGAGCTTTAACTTATCCGTATTGTTTAATATGTGTATTAAATGGGTGCCAGATTGTGCACATAAATTGGTGATTAATGTTGGCGCACGCCGGACGTGACTGTTGGAAACTCCTAACATTTCAGCATGAACAGTTTAGCTATTCTGCTGTTTTTACTGCTAGGACTCTTTGGGATTGGCAATTCACTTTATGAGGATCAAGTGGGAAAATTTGATTGGTAAATTTTCGTTGTGAAATCACCAGGATTATTTGTAGCTACAACATGACCTCCATCATCGTGCATGTTCATGCAGATTTTGAACAGTTGGCTTTGCTGGGGTTTTGGAAGAGCGCCCTCTAGGGGGCTTATTATGTTAATCAAGTTTATGCCAACATTTATTTTACTGTAATACTTACACAATCAGGGAACTGAAATGTGCAAGCTAATTAGTGTTAAGACTAGAGTAACTGTAATGTTTAGCATAAGCCTTTATCATGGTTACGCATCAGTCCCAACTATAGTTGGGTCCGTCCCAACTAGAGTGCTACAGTTGGGCCGGCCTAACTACAGCAGATAGGTCCTGTGTGCATGATGTGCCCAGCATGTGCCAAAGTCATATTGTTTACAAATGTCATGTCATTGGTCATAGGGCTCGATGAACAGATGAAGTGCCACATTTTAGATGAATTTGTCAAGTGTGAGACACATTGACTTAGATGATGTTGAAACATTCCCCACGGACATTGGTCAACAATAGTTGGGCAAGCCCAACTGCAGCACGTAGCACTACAGTTGGGACTTATGCTATAGTTAGGACGTAACATCGCTAATACCGCACAGGCCTAGGTCATTTTGTGCAATGTTAAAAAGGCGCTGTTGGAAGGAAAAAAAGAGCAAGCATTGCCCCTTAATCCTTCCCACTTGAATGTGGAGTCACAATATTCAAGTGAGCTTAGCCTGATACAGTAACAGGCCGATCGGGGGGGGGGGTGTGGGAAAATGAATACAAATTGACAACCACAAAAATGCACACGGCAACAAGACAGACTTCGGGGGCACCTCCAAACTTGAGTATTCAAATTAAACAAAGCAAATGAGTATTTACAAAGATATCCAACAGGCAAATTAACATTACATTACAATATTGGATAACACAAGTAATAAGACCAGTGCAGGGCTGGAGGAGAGAGCACGGCTTAAGGCATAGAAACCCAAACGTAAAAGTGGCTCCAAAAAAAAAGAAACTAAAAGAATGACCAATGCCCCAATGCACGCAGCAGTCTTATATACCTGCAGAGTATACTCGGCCAAAATGGAAGTAAAAGAATTGAAGGAGTGTGAGTGGTGTGCCCGCAGGTGGCACTCAGGTAACTTTATTACAATACACTGTATGTACATCATCTTCAAGTTCAAGCAAACTTGAATCCTCAATTCTACTTGAAGGACAGCAGTGTGATACAGATAGGTATTGCACAAACCATATTA